AGTCACCAGTAACCTCGACCGGGTCAACAGCGTCTACCTGGGACACACCTTAGGGGGCAGGAACCGGAGGGGGGAGGGGGTCTACCGGGGGGGGAACCGGCACAAGGAAGTCCGGGGGAGGGGGGAGGGAAGGAGTGCGGTAGGGGAAGAGACGGTAGAAGGGGACTGACTCGTCGAACGTGACGTCCTGGGAGGACAGAACACGACGAGAGGAGGGGTGGTAAAACTGCCACCCTGGGGCGTCAGTGGGGAAGCCAAGGAAGACACAGGGAGCAGCACGAGGGGACAGCTTGTCCGCAGACAAGTCGCGGACAAACGCCCGAGATCCCCAGACACGGAACACAGACGCATCGCCAACCTTCCCCGTCCACAGCAAGGCTGGGGACATCGCAGGCCGAGAGACCCGGGGGTGAAGGTTGAGCTGATGCGCCGCGTACCTCACCGCAAACGGCCACAGAAAATGGGGGGCAGCCGCATGCATCATGGACGTACGAGCGACATCCATGACCATGCCAATGCGGCGCTCAGCAATCCCATTTTGCTGTGGTGAGTCCGGAAGCGTGAAGGTCTGGCGGATCCCCCGTGCACGACAGTAGTCCCGCAGAAGGCGAGAAGAGAACTCTCCGCCTCTGTCAGAGTGCAGACGCAGAACAGGAAAGTCCGAGCCGAAGCTCTTCCTGAGCTGGAGACGAGCCTCGCGGATCCAGTCGATCAGCACCTCAGTGACCTCACCCTTGCTGCGCAAGGGGAGGACAGTGGTGTAACGCGAGAAGTCGTCAACCACCAACAGGAAGTAGCGCTCGTAACCCTGCCCACGGACGGGGGCTGGGCCCCACACATCCATGTGAAGCGTCTGCAGGGGAGCCTCTGTCGGGGGGAAGTGGGAGGAGTGAGGAGTAGCCCGGAGGCGACCCTCGACACAGGGGACACAGGAAGGTCCTGGCCCGGAGGGGAGAGGAGGGAGAGACTGGGGAAGACCAGAGACAAGGACACGGGAAGCCATGCTCCGAAGACGGGGCAAGGAGGGGTGGCCAAGACGGTGGTGCCACAGGAGAGTCTCGTGAGACAGAAGGCGACAAGAACAGGGGGCAGACTCAGGACCTGACCGGGACGCAGCAGCAAGCACCTGACCCGACGCAGCCACCTGACCAGACGCAGGGACAGGAGGAGACTCAACGGTCAGGGTGTAGAGACTCAACCCCGGCCGACGCGAGAACGTGGCCAGGTGTCGGCCTGTGCGTGCCTCCGTGCAGTGGGTCACCCGCTGACTCGCAGGAGTGAACTGGTGAACTCCCACATCCTGCAGGTCCGCTCCACTCACCAAGTTCGTAGAGAACGAGGGAAGGTACAGACCCGACAGGGTGCCCGAAGGGGCAGTCGGACACGGGAGGACAGTGGAGAAGTGAGACAGGACAGGACCCCCAGAGGGGTCAGCAAGGGAGACCGCAACCGGCCGGCCGAGCGGCGTAAGGGTAGTGCGGTCTCGAAAGAAGGAGCGAGAAGCTCAGGAGTCAAGTGTGAAAGTGAGGGAGGACGAGGACGACGCAGTACCTGAGAGCGCAGTCTCACCAGTACCTGAGAGCACAGACGCACTGGCACCTAGAGCAGCAGCCTCACAAGCACCTAGCGCAGCAGTACCAATGCCCGGGTCGGGCTGGAAACAACGGTAACCCTCAGTCTCCTCACTATAATCCACAACATACATAGCAGCAAGGATAGCATCAAAATCAAGATCAAAGATCGCTACACCAGCCCTGAGAAGCTCATCCCAGCGAGGGATCTCACTAGCCCCAGGGAACTGCTGACGCCAAGCGTCCGTCAGGCGGCCAAAGCAGCGCTGGGTGGCGTGGGCACCCCCACACTGCTCACCCGCGCGGTCGCCGGAACGAAGAACGTAGGTGCAGGGACCAGTACCCCCACCCCTCTGACGCCCAGCGTACCACTCACGAAGCTGCTGAGGCGGAGGGATGTCCCGCGAGCGCTGCTGCTGCTGCCGGTGCGAGCGCTGGCCACCACCACCTCCGCTACGCTGCTGGGTACCACCTCGACCAGCTCCACCTCCTCCACCACCACCGCCTCCTCCGCTGCTGCCTCCACCGCCTCCACCTCCGCCGCCTCCACCACCGCCGCTGCCTCCACCACCACCGCTGGCCCCACCACCACCGTCTCCGCCACTGCTGCCACCACCACCACCACCTCCACCACTAGTCCCGCCGCCACCCCCACTCCCTCCGCCGCCACCGCCGCCACCGCCACCGCCCCCTCCAGCTCCACCCGCGCCCTTGCCCCCCTTGCCCTTGCTGGAGCGACGTCTCCCACTAGGGGCAGACGCCGCGCCGACCGACTCAAGACCAAGCAGGTCGGCAGCAGCAGCAGAGGCAACAGAGGGCAGCAAGGGGGAAGGAGAGCACCCCTCAAAGATGGGGGTGCGAGGGTCACCACGAGAAGCACCTACAGCGACGATGCTCTTCTCCGCTGCGAGGAGGGCCTTCTCGAGGAGGTCGACGGTGAGGGTGGTGGGACAGACTGCGAGAAAGTGGTCCCTGACGACGCGAAGGGAGTCAGGGAGGCGCGCGACTACGTAGTAGAGAGCGATGTACATGGGGGGGGGGTTCTTAGCGCAGAACTCAGCAGGAAGGGCGGCGCGGTAGCGAGTGTCACTAGTGCGGAGGTGCGTAATAAGGTCAGCGACAGTGGGAAAGGCGGAGAGGTCAGGAAAGAGGTAGGGAAGCATGAGACGGCTCAGTGCAGCAGTGGCAGGGGAGGAGTAGCGCGCAACTACAGCGTCGTACAAGGTCTGAGCACTCTTGTACTGACTAAAGTGCGCACGCTCAGAGGTAGGGAGGTGACGACGCACAGCAAGACGTGCAGCAGCATCGCGGGTGGCCCACTTAGAGCGGACAGCAGGATCAGCATCAGCAGCAGGAGCAGGAGAGGCGCCAGAGGTGAGGTCAAAGAGAGAAAGGTCGTCAGCCCTGTCGCACTGTAAGAACAGCTGCAGGTCGTCTAACCAGACCTCAAAATCAATGGCGCGACCCTCAGCGTCAAAAGCTAGGACACTAGGGGTAGCCATGGCGACAACAGCGACGCAGTGCAAGCAGTAGGGAAAGAGCTCGCAGTGGCAGTGCTCACCAGGCAGGGCAGGTCGTGCAGCTATCCAGAAAGGCGGCTCAGCGACCGGGCGGCTCGGGTGCACAGCGGCTCGGCTCTCGGGCGGTTCGGCGGCTGGGCGGCTCGGGCGCAGGGCGGCTCGGCTCCCGGGCGGCTCGGCGGCTGGGCGGCTCGGGTGCAGGGCGGCTCGGCTCCCGGGCGGCTCGGCGGCAGGGCGGCTCGGGTCCCGGGCGGCTCGGCGTTGGGCGGCTCGGCTCCCGGGCGGTTCGGCTGCTGGGGCGGCTCGGCCGGGAGATGCAGGGTCGGGGCCGTCAGGTGCAGCGGCGGGTCGACCGGTGCAGTGGCGGGCCGGCAGGTGCAGCGGCGGGCCGGTAGGTGCAGCGGCGGGCCGGCAGGTGCAGTGGCGGGCCGGCAGGAGCAGGCGGCGGGCCGTAGGGTGCGGCGGCGGGCCGGCAGGTGCAGCGGCGGGCCGGCAGGTGCAGCGGCGGGGCCGTCAGGTGAGGCGGCGGGCCGGCAGGAGCAGCGGCGGGCCGAAGGGTGCAGCGGCGGGGCCGTCAGAGGCGGCGGGCCGCTGGGTGCAGCGGCGGGCCGGCAGGTGCAGCGGCGGGCCGGCAGGAGCTGCGGCAGGCCGTAGGGTGCAGTGGCGGGGGCCGTCAGAGGCGACGGCGGGTCCGCGTCAGGCGACAGCGGGGCCGCGGCAGTAGAGGCGGGGCCGCGTCAGGGGAGGCGGCGGGACCGCGTCAGGGGAGGCGGCGGGGCCGCGTCAGGGGAGGCGGCGGGGCCGCGTCAGGGGAGGCGGCGGGGCCGCGTCAGGGGAGGCGGCGGGGCCGCGTCAGGGGAGGCGGCGGGGCCGCGTCAAGTAGGCGGCGGGGCCGCGAGCAGGAGAGGTGGCGGGGCCGCGTCTGAGGGACAGCGGGGCCGCGAGGGAAAAGGCGACCCGAGGGGTCGCTAAAAAAAAGGCGCGCCTCGGGGCGCGCTTCGGTGGGCCCTAAAAAAACGGTCCTAAGGCAGGACCCGCTCTATACCATGTGAAGCAAAGAAAACAGGAATGAAAATGACTAAGGAAAGATTGGGTACAAGTACAACCCTAGAAACCCTGTACCCCATATGTGCTACCCCACTATAGCCTACAGCAACTATGTCATATAAATCTGACACGGAGTACCCCAGCCACCCGAGCCGCCCGAGCCACCCGAGCCGCTGAGTACCCGAGCCGCCCGAGCCGCCCGAGCCGCTGAGTACCCGAGCCGCCCAAGCCGCCCGAGCCGCCCGAGCCGCCTGGGTCATCTGAGGAGCCGAGCCGCTGGTCCACCGGAGCTGCTGCTGCTGCTGGGCCGGCCGAGCAGCAGTGTTGCCGTGTTGCTGTGCCCCTGAGCTGCCCGACCCGCCCTGTCTGGTGAGATCGTTGACTGCTGTCATGGCTACCCCTAGTGTCCTAGCTTTTGACTCTGAGGGTCGTGCCATTGACTTTGAGGTCTGGGTAGACGACCTGCAGCTGTTCTTATAGTGCGATAGGGCAGACGGTCTTTCTCTCTTTGACCTCACCTCTGGCGCCGTCCCTGCCCCTGCTGCTGATGCTGACCCCACTGTACGCTCCCAGTGGGCCACACGCGACGCTGCTGCACATCTTGCTGTGCGTCGCCACCTGCCTACCGCTGAGCGCGCGCACTTTAGTCAGTACAAGAGTGCCCAGACCTTGTACGATGCTGTAGTTGCGCGCTACTCCTCCCCTGCCACTGCTGCACTGAGCCGCCTCATGCTCCCCTTCCTCTTCCCTGACCTTGCCGGCTTTCCCACTGTCGCTGATCTCATTACGCACCTCCGCACTAGTGACACTCGCTACCGCGCTGCGCTTCCTGCTGACTTCTGCGCCAAGAACCCCCACCCCCATGTACATCACTCTCTACTTTCTAGTCACTCGCCTCCCTGACTCCCTTCGTGTAGTCCGGGACCACTTCCTCGCGGTCTGTCCCACCACTCTCACAGTCGACAGCCTCGAGAAGGCCCTCCTCGCGACGGAGAAGAGCATAGTCGCTGTAGGAGCCTCTCGAGGTGACCCCCGCACCCCCATCTTTGAGGGGTGTTCTCCTTCCCCTCTCTTACCCTCTGTCGCCTCTACCGCTGCGGGCGACCTCGTTGGTCTTGAGTCGGTCGGTGCGGCGTCTGCCCCTAGCGGGAGACGCCGCTCTGGCAAGGGCAAGGGGGGCAAGGGAGCGGGTGGGGCCAGCGGGGGCGGTGGAGGTGGAGGTGGAGGCGGCGGAGGGAGTGGGGGTGGCGGTGGAGGTGGTGGCGGGGGTGGGGGTGCTAGTGGCGGCAGTGGAGGCGGGGGTGGCGGCGGCGGTGGCGGTGGGAGCGGAGGTGGCGGAGGCGGCGGCGGTGGAGGCGGAGGCGGGGGTGGCGGTGGTGGAGGTGGTCGGAGTTGCGCTTCACAGCGGAGCAGCACTGGGGGTGGTCAGCGCCAGCAGCAGCAGCAGCAGCAGCAGCAGCGTTCTCGCGACGTCCCCACCCCTCAGCAGCTCCGTGAGTGGTACACACAGCGTCAGCGTGGTGGGGGTTTTAGTCCCTGCACCTACGTTCTTCGCACTGGCGACCGCGCTGGAGAGCAGTGTGGGGGTACCCACACCGCCCAGCGCTGCTTTGGCCGCCTGACCGTCGCTTGGCGCCAGCAGTTCCCGGAGGCCGCGGAGATCCCCCGCTGGGGAGAGCTGTCTAGGGCTGGTGTAGCTATCTTTGATCTTGACTTTGATGGTATCCTTGCTGCCATGTATGCTGTGACCATTAGTGATGAGGGAAACTGTTACCGGTGTTTCCCGCCCGACCCGGGCATTGGTACTGCTCCTCTAGGTGCCTGTGTGGCTTCTGCTCTAGGTGCCAGTGCGTCTGTGCTCTCAGGTACTAGTGAGGCTGCTCTCTCAGGTACTAGTGAGTCTGCGCTCTTAGGTGCTGCGTCGGCTTCGGCCTCCCACACCTTCACCCTTGACTCTGGAGCGTCTCGCTCCTTCTTTCGGGACCGCACCACACTCACGCCGCTTAGTCGGCCGGTTGCGGTGTCCCTGGCTCACCCCTCTGGGGGTCCTGTCCTGTCTCGCTTCTCCACAGTCCTCCCGTGTCCGGCGGCTCCCTCTGGCACCCTGTCTGGTCTCTACATCCCCTCGTTCTCTACGAACTTGGTGAGTGGTGCTGACCTACAGGATGCGGGAGTCCACCAGTTCACTCCTGCTCGTCAGCGAGTGACGCACTGCACAGAGGCGAGCACAGGTCGCCACCTGGCTACGTTTACACGTCAGCCAGGATCGAGCCTGTACACACTGACCACTGCTTCTCCTCCAGTTGCTGAGTCTGGTAGGGTCCCTTCGTCTGGTCAGGTGTTTGCTGCAGCGTCCAGGTCTGGTCCTGAGTCTGCCCCCTATTCGTGTCGTCGCCTGTCTCACGAGACTCTCCTCTGGCACCACCGCCTGGGTCACCCCTCTCTGCTTCGGCTCAGAGGCATGGCCTCCCGTCTTCTTGTGTCTGGTCTCCCCCGGTCCCTCCCTCTCCTTCCTCAGGGCCCTGGCCCTGCCTGTATCCCCTGTGTCGAGGGGCGCCAGCGTGCTGCCCCTCACTCCTCCCAGTTTCCTCCGATAGAGGCTCCGTTGCAGACGCTTCACATGGACGTGTGGGGCCCTGCCCGCGTCCGTGGACTCGGTCACGAGCGCTACTTCCTGTTGGTGGTTGACGACTACTCGCGTTACACCACAGTCTTCCCCTTGCGCAGGAAGGGTGATGTCACTGAGGTGCTGATCGATTGGATCCGCGCAGCTCGTCTCCAGCTCAGGCAGAGCTTTGGCTCGGACTTTCCTGTGTTGCGTCTGCACTCGGACAGAGGCGGAGAGTTCTCCTCTGGCCTTCTGCGTGCCTACTGTCGTGCGCGAGGCATCCGTCAGACCTTCACGCTTCCGGACTCACTGCAGCAAAATGGGATTGCAGAGCGCCGCATTGGCATGGTCATGGACGTCGCTCGTACGTCTATGATGCATGCGGCTGCCCCCCATTTTCTGTGGCCGTTTGCGGTCAGGTACGCGGCGCATCAGATCAACCTCCACCCCAGGGTCTCCAGGCCGGAGACCTCCCCAGCCCTGCTGTGGACGGGGAAGGTTGGCGATGCGTCGGCGTTCCGGGTCTGGGGATCTCGGGCGTTTGTCCGCGACTTGTCTGCGGACAAGCTGTCCCCTCGCGCTGCTCCCTGCGTCTTCCTGGGGTTCCCCCCCGACGCCCCTGGGTGGCAGTTCTACCACCCCACCTCTCGCCGTGTTCTATCCTCCGAGGACGTCACGTTCGACGAGTCGGTACCCTACTACCGCCTCTTCCCCTACCGCACTCCGTCCCTCCCCCCACCCCCGCTCTTCTTGGTACCAGGTCCCCCCCCCGGTAGACCCCCTTCCCCCTCAGGGTCCTGCCCCTTCAGGTGTGTCCCAGGTAGACGCAGTCGAGCCTGTCGAGGTCACTGGTGACTCAGGTGCTGCTGGGGGTACTGAGCCTGGGGGTGCTGAGCCTGGGGGTGCTGAGCCTGGGGGTGCTGAGCCTGGGGGTGCTGGGTCTGTGGGTGCTGAGCCTGGGGGTGCTGAGACTGGAGGTGCTACGCCTGGAGGTGCTTTGCCTGGGGGTGCTGAGCCTGGAGGTTCTCCGGGTGCTTCGTCTCGCCGAGAGCCACTCTCCCCACAGGAGCTACGTGAGTGGTTTGCCCGGCGCTGGAGGCGTGCTTCTGGTACTGGAGGTTCTTTGGCTGCTGAGGGTGCTGCTGCCGCGGGTCCTGGAGGTGCTCGTACTGGGAGTACTGGAGCTGCTGGGCCTGCGGGTTCGACTGGAGCTGGTGCTGCTGAGGGTGTTGGCGCTGAGACTACCACTGGCGGTCCGACTGGCGGTGCTCCTGGTGCTGCTGGAGGTTCTAGGGCTGCTGGAGGTGCTGCGGGGGGTTTTGGAGCTACTGGAGGTCCTACTGGAGGTGCTGCTAGAGCGGGTACTCCTGCTGGGGGTACTGTTGCTGTCCCTGCTGTTTCTGGCGTCGCCACGCGGCCCCGATCGTACTTCGTTCCCCTCCTACAGCAGGTTCTTGGTCTTACACCTTCTCCTGGTCCTCCTCCTTCTACCTTAGAGGGTCCACAGCCTGTCCAGTCACGGTCACAGCTACAGCCTGCCTCCCCTTTGCCTGCTCCTTCTCCCTACGCTGGTCCTACTGGAGGTCTTACTGAGCGTCGTGAGCCTGCGTCTCGTCCTGCGTCACCTGTTCGTGCTGCACGCACTAGTGGTCGCGGTTCGCGTCAGCGTCCTCCTCCTGTCCCTGGCACGCACCGGATGACTCTGCGTCCTTCCTCTGCTCCTCTGCGTGCCCCTTTGCCTTCTCCTCCTGCTTCCTCTCTTCCTGCTCTTGCCGACCCGGAGTCGGACTCTCTTCGTGCTGCCATTCCTACTGTCACGCGTCTCCTTGCTACTGCCGTCACTGACCCTTCTTTCGGGTCTACTGCTGCGTCTGCCCTTGTTACTGAGCTCGTCAAATTTGCTGCTCGCTGTCGCCTAGACTACGCTACTAGTCTTGTCGCCGAGTCTGAGTCTGCCTGTCCTCCGTCCGTCGGGGGTGAGTGTGCCCTTGGCACGGACGTCCTTGAGGACAGGCAGGAGGAGTTCCAGTGTCTGGCCGCCGCTTCACCTCATCTCGTGTCCGTACTGCTCACCCCTGAGGGAGACCCGGATGCACTTGACATCCCGACTCCGCGCTCTTACGCGGAGGCGATAGAGGGTCCCTACTCCTCTCAGTGGCAGGCAGCTATGGATGCAGAGATGGCTTCCTGGAAGTCCACAGGCACCTACGTTGACGCTGTCCCCCCTCCTGGGGCGAACATCGTCAGTGGCATGTGGATCTTCAGGGTGAAGCGGCCGCCGGGTTCTCCGCCTGTCTTCAAGGCGCGTTACGTGGCTCGTGGCTTCACTCAGCGGCAGGGAGTTGACTACTTTCAGACCTTCTCCCCCACCCCGAAGATGACCACTCTTCGGGTACTGCTGCACGTTGCTGCTTGTCAGAATCCCAACCACTAGACCATTGGGATAAAGGGGCTTGTTTCAGTAGCGGGTCAGTGCGCCCATAACCCCCCAGGCAAACGCGCCTGTAACCCCCCCTAGGATCGATCGGGGATCTCACAGTGTAGCTCTACTGACACCCCCCCACACTGGGAGGCCCAGGACTGAGCACAGTGGCAACGACCAACATGTGCATACACCGGGATTCGAACCCGAGACCGCTCTGATACCATGTCAGAATCCCAACCACTAGACCATTGGGATAAAAGGGCTTGTTTCAGTAGCGGGTCAGTGCGCCCATAACCCCCCAGGCAAACGCGCCTGTAACCCCCCCTAGGATCGATCGGGGATCTCACAGTGTAGCTCTACTGACACTGCTCACCGTGACTACGAGCTGCACTCTCTCGACTTCAACACTGCTTTCTTGCAGGGCAGCCTGCACGAGGAGATCTGGCTGCGCCGCCCACCTGGCTTCACTGGGTCTTTCCCTCCTGGTACCCAGTGGAGTCTCCGGCGTCCAGTCTACGGTCTCCGCCAGGCGCCACGTGAGTGGCACGACACACTGAGGACTACGCTGGCGGCACTTGGGTTTGCTCCTTCCACTGCAGACCTGTCGCTGTTTCTGCGCACCGACACCTCTCTGCCGCCGTTCTACATCCTCGTGTACGTCGACGACTTGGTCTTTGCCACTGCTGACACTGCTGGACTCGCCTACGTGAAGTCCGAGCTGCAGAAGAGACACACGTGTACTGACCTAGGTGAACTGCGCATCTACCTTGGCTTGCAGATCACCCGGGACAGAGCACGCCGCACCATTACCCTGACTCAGTCACACATGGTGCAGCAGGTCCTTCAGCGCTTCGGCTTCACGTACTCCTCGCCTCAGGCCACTCCTCTGCCTACTCGTCACTCGCTCTCAGCTCTGCCTTCGGATGAGTCCGTAGAGTCGAGTGGCCCGTATGCAGAGCTTGTTGGCTGCCTCATGTACCTGATGACCTGCACTCGACCTGACCTTGCATACCCTCTTAGCATTCTCGCACGCTATGTTGCTCCTGGGAGACACCGACCAGAGCACATGGCTGCAGCGAAGAGGGTGTTGCGCTACTTGTGCAGTACGTCGGGCATGGGGCTAGTGCTTGGAGGGCGGAGTCCAGTGGTCCTCACTGGGCATGCGGACGCTTCTTGGGCTGACGACCAGGCTACGCAGCGGTCGTCATAGGGTTACACCTTCAGCCTTGGTTCCGGCTCTGTTTCGTGGCGAGCTACCTGCTCGTCCTCTGTTCTCGGCTCCAGTTGTGAGGCTGAGATCTACGCCGGGGCCATGGCTGCACAGGAGTTACGCTGGCTCACCTACCTGCTGATCGACCTTGGAGAGCCGCCTCGTTCTCCTCCAGTCCTGTACGTAGACAACAAGGCCATGCTGGCCTTGTGTCGAGAGCAGCGACTGGAGCACGGGACAAAGCACATTGCTCTCCGTTACTTTCTTGCTCGTGAGCTACAGCAGCGTGGACAGTTGCGGCTTGCGTACATGGCCTCTGAGGCCAATACTGCTGATGTCTTCACCAAGGCACTTGCGCCTTGTGATCATCAGCGCCTCTGCACGCAGCTAGGTCTTGTGCCTGTCTTGCCTCACTTGCTCACTTCTTGACCTTGCTTGTACTTTCACATATATATACTCTTGCTCTTGCTTGCTTAGACTCTTGTATATCTATATATGTGATCTTGCATGTGAACTGGCCTTCTGGCCTTTGAACTTGTGCTCGGAATGTGTGGTGACTTTGTGATCCACCCTGAGCTTTGCCTGCTTTGCTTGACTGGTCTTGTGACCCCTTGTTCTCCCCCACTTTG